TTATTGAGTAAGTCAGTTGTTAATTTTATTTTTTTTTTTCTTTCATCCTAATGGAGTAAACACTGCCAGATATAATCCGTATAAAGCTCTTTGGAGTCCTCATAATCTTTAAGAATGCAAAGGGATGCCAAGAAAAAAAAGTCTGTGAAATATTGGCAGAGTGCAATCAACCAGCCTAGGCAGCATTATTAAGAAACCCTGTGATCTTTCCCGAATAAGCTTTCATCAGTTGAGTTTTCATGCACAGAAAGCTAATCCTTCTGCCTTCTGTAAAGGTGTAAAACCTTCTGTAAAGGTACAAAATCTTCTGCCTTTCTTCTTGCTTATCTTCCTCCCTTCCTTTCTTTCATGAATTTTATTGAGAGGATGAATGAGTTGGCCAACTGACAAAACTCTTTTGAGATACAAAAATAATATAGTCCATAGAGTCCCTATAGAGCATGGACTCTAGTGGAAAAGGCAGTCAATCAAATGATGATAGTGAACTGTGAACACAGGAAAAGAAGAGAGTTTTGACATCTGCCTAGGAGATCAGAAGGAGAAACGCAGAGTATGGCACTTGGGGACCACAAGATCTGAACAAATAGTTCAGCTCTCTTTTTACGCTTGTGGCTCAAGCGCTTATTTTAAATAGGAGTGGCCCACTGTAGCCACCAAGGTGGTACTTTACTCCTATTTCTCTTCGAGAGAGAACGTGTCACAGGAGTGCAGCTTGCTGACAGACTCCAGCTGCAGTGGCTTCAGGAACCACCTCAGTTTTCCAGTCCAAGACAATGGCTAAGTGCGCCATGAACTGACCCCTGGGCCTGGGCATTTTCCCAGCAAGTTCCTGAATGGGCGTCCTTGCACAAGAGTTCCCCGCTGGACCGGACCGGCTGACACTATCTCAGAGTAGTATCCCCGAGTCCCTTTCCCTCAGATTGATCCTCCTTCATTTTCACAGAGGTCAGAACTACACTGGAATCTGAGACTTTCCCTTCCTATTCCTCTTCCCTCTCCAAGTTCTCTTTCGCAGGCATTACCCCCTAATAGACTCTCTGAACCTCAGTTCTGTCTCCAGTGAAATAGAAATCAGGTAGTATCTTGCCCACACAGTTGTGTAATAATTAAATGACATGTGAATTACCTTGATAAAATGTAAAGTCCTAAATGGGCTTCCCTGGTGGCTCAGAGAGTAAAGAACCTGCCTGCAATGGTGGAGACCCAGTTCAGTTCCTGGGTTGGGAAGATCCCCTGGAGAAGGAAATGGCAACCCACTCCAGTGTTCTGGCCTGGAGAGTCTCATGGATAGAGAAGCCTGGCAGGCTACAGTCCATGGGGTCGCAATGAGTCAGACACGACTGAATGACTCACACACTAAAGTCCTAAATAAATGAAATTACTATGGTTGTTACTGACTTCCAATATCAGATATGTAGAATGCCAAATGGTATTCTACATTGATATGTCAACTTTTTTCTCTATTTCTTTGATTCTTCTTGGTTTTGATACGAATTTCTGAACAGTGACTTTCAAACTTATTTACAAGGCCAGGAATATGGGAATCAAGATACTTTTTGCCAAATACATGAAATACAGCTATATTTATGTCCACGATACTATTCATTCATTCAAAAAATGTGAGTACTGTGTGCCAGAATTATTCAGGGTGCTAGGATTATAGCAGAGAAACAGGATTTGGAGTCTACTGTCTAATAAAGATAGTTTTCTAGTAGTAATATATACAGTAATAAACACAGTCAGTTCTCTGTAGAATCTGTGTGAACTCATTCAGTCTTCTCAAAACTAAATGAGGTAGTCACAGTTCTTTACCAATTATGCACAAGTGATAGATGAGAAAACTAAGGCACAAAAAGAAGTCAAATAACTTCCTCAAGATCTAAATATTAATAGTTGGTGAGCAGCAGAACCATGCTTCAAACTTAGGCAGTGTGATACAAGTCCTTGGTCATCTCTAAGCCATCTCTGACAGTCTAAGTGATTCTCAAGCTGCAAGGATCCTCTAAAAGGGTTAAAACAAAACATAGTGGGGAACTGATACAGTAGGCATGGGTGGGGGCCAAGAATTTACATTTCTAGCAAATTCCAAAGAGATGCATATGCACCTGATCATTTTCATCCAGCAGTTTGAGAATTACTGCTAAGTAATGCTGTGCTGTGCTGAGCCACTTAGCAGTGTCCCACTCTTTGTGACCCCATGGACTGTAGCCTGCCAAGCTTCTCTGTCCATGAGGATTCTCCAGGCCAGAATACTGGAGTAGATTGCCATGCCTTCCTCCAGGGGATCCTCCCAACCCAGGGATCCAACCCAAGTCTCCTGCTTTACAGGTGGATTCTTTAAAATCTGACTCACCAGGGAAGTCTGATAAGCAATACTACTTCCTTATAAACCTAGTTAAAAATGATCTGAGCCTAGTACCAAACTGTGGTTTGCACATAAATTTACTTTTACTTCATATCATTTGAAATATACTAAATTTTCAGGAATGCAACTTTTAGATAAATCAATAGGACTTTGTTCTGCTGGGAACTTGACCAAGAGTTTTCCAGCATTACATCTGATAAGGAAACTGTGACATTCATTCAAGATACTATCATCTTTGGATCATTTCCCAATTGTAAAATACATCCACTAGACTAAGGGGTATTTGAGCTATAAACTCACTGAAATAATTTCTATTCTTAGAAAAACAGTACCTGTCAATTTTACTGTGATTTTACAATTCTACATAGAGACATAAAATGCAAGTATCTGAATATCTCATTCTATTCTCCAGTACATTCATACACGAGCATTTTAGGTAATGAAATACTAGTGTTTGTATTAAACTTTATCTAAAATATCTTTCCCTCAATATTTACACCTTTTCCCCTTACTTTCTGAGGTCAAATCAATGAGATTTTTTCCCTCTGTTTTCATTTTAATTTTTTAAAATATCTTTTTGTCTTTTGTATTATCGGTACTTTTCAAGTAAGCTTATATATGAATTTCATTTCAAATTAGCAAAAGCCCTCTATAAAATATGTTATAAAAATAAAACTTTGCATCTGATCAATTTGAGAATCACGTTTTTCTCCCTGTGAATGGAGAGAGAACTAGTTTGAGAATTATTAGATTAGTGGAAATAAACTAAATTGAAAGTCAAAGTACCTGAGGTTTATTCCTAACTCTAAGTAACTGGCAATGTGACATTCATCAAGTTATCTCTGGATCTTCACTTCCAAATAGCAAAACAAATCCATTAGGTTAAGAAGTCTTCAAGATTCTTTCCTATTTATTCATTGGCTAGAGATGTGTTTTCAACTATTTTCACAATTGTTTGTGCTGCTTTGATTACACAATCAAAGAAATTTTCAACTTGATTATTCAGCTCATCATAATTGATGATTTAGTAAAAGTTTTAGTATTTTAACAACCAATGGCACATTTTCTGAGTTTAGGAATGCTGTTTCTCTGTCATCGAGTTATCTCTGAACAGTAAATGGGCTAGTTTAATTCATGCTGTCAGCTTTTCACCCTAAGTAAAGGGTAATAAAACCTACAAGGGTGTTAGCCCCACCCATACCTTTGCGGTCTGTGACTATATTAGAGAGAATTTTCATTTCTGAGCTTTCAAGGGCAACGCCTTCTGCCAAACGGAAATTGGCTTTCAGGCCTAGAAACCAAGATAAGGTTATTAAGTGAATTTATTTTAACACCTCAGGACACTTAGTTTTTTCAAGCCATTATCTAAGGAGACAAAGGTGAATAATCTGGACATGCTTCCTTCAATCTGGTGAAAAAGGCGGACATACAAATATTTATTTGAAACCAGTGTAATGAGGGCAAAATGAACGTGCCCTAGCAGGAACACAGAAAAGTCTGTCTTCTTCATCACTTGTCCTTAATGATGCTCGAAGCCTGACACTAGAACACTCTGCAGGAAAGGAGCCCCGACTTCCAACAACAGACAGGAAAGACAGCAGTTCCCACAGAAAAGGGTGATAATTAAACGGAACAAGGAAGCATCTGCAAGTCGTGCTACTTAATAATTACCAGCGATCAGACTGGCACTCTGAAACCTGATCACAAGACAGGCTTTCTCCCACCAGCTACCTTCCCCATCCAAGGCAAGTTACTTCCTCTCTCTGGGCCTGCAGCTTTTCAGTTTTAAAACAAGGATTTCAGTGCCTGTACGCATCTGCGGGCGCTCGCCCGCGCAACTAAATCCTATAAAATTAGCAGGACAAAAAACACAACAAAACACTAATACACAAAAAACTGCAAGTTTGCACTACAACTGAATTCTCCTGTAGACAACAGGCTAAGAACATTAACAGGAAACCGACAAACTCCAGCAAAAAAAAAAAAAGGCAGTGAAAAGTTTTGGGAAAAGGAAGAGCAGTTTTCAAACAGCTGGGGGCGTGGGGGGGGGGGGCGGGTGTAGTGTGCCGGTAGTCGCATGTAAAGTAGTTCTGAGGGAAAAAAAGTTAGCAGAGTGAGGACTAAGTGGGGACGACGAGCAAGTGAGGAAAGCTGCCCCAGTTAGACCGCGCGCTCTGGACCTCTTTCCCAGCCCGGACGCCGCCAGCCCCTCACCGCCCAGGCTGCCACCTCGCTCTGACCTTCAGTCTCCACTCGCCCGCAGGCCTGCCTCTGTACGCTCCCCGCTCCCCGCCTTTTTTTTCCTTTTTTATTCTCAGTCTCCCTCCCTCCGTTACCCCTCCAGGAGCGAAGGAGCGCGTCCGGGGCGCGCACGGAGCGGCGGTGGCTCTCCCGCCCCTGGAGAGCTGTCCTCGGCGACCGAACCCGAGGGCCGGCGGCCGCTGGGTGACCCATGCGCCCCGAGCCCCATCTGTGGGGCGGAGCGACCCCCCGGCCCCGCCCGAGACCCCGCCCCCGCCGGGCCGCGTTTCCGGCCCCTCGGCCGACTTTAAGGCGCGCGCGGCCGCGGTGGCTGCAGTCCCGCCCGGCGCGCCGCGGCTCCCTCCCTCCCCCGCTTCCTCCCAGCCCTGCCGGCATGGGTCCCCGGCCCGGCTCGCGGTTCGCCGCGCTCCTGCTGCTCGTCTGCGGCGCTGGCTCCGTGCGCGGGGACACGCCTGCCAACTGCACCTACCCCGACCTGCTGGGCACCTGGGTCTTCCAGGTGGGCCCCAGCGGCCAGCGCGATGTCAACTGCTCGGTGATGGGTAAGCCGCTGGCGCCGGGGCACCCGCTTCCTCCCTGGGTCTGCCCGGGGCTCCTGCGCTTCGATCCCTGTGCCCTTGTCCCCGCAGCGAACCCCCCCGTTGGCGGGAGGCCGGGATGTCCTGGCTGGACTTGGCGTCCCCCCGGGCGCCCCTTGTCGCTCCAGGGCGGCGATGTCAGAGTGGAGAGGCTGAGCGCTTCTAACTTCACGTGGTCTTCATTATTTCCTGGGCCCTCAACACTTTCTGCAAGAACTTTTTTTTTTCCTCCCTTGAGTTTTGTTTCTTGGTTGGTTTTTTTTTTTTTTTTTGGTTTGGAAGAGAGGTGAAACTGGGCAATCTTATCTCCCCATTCAATCCTCAGCATTTCATTGTGCCGGTGGAAAATGAGCTCAAAGACTCTTGAGAATGTAGCTGTTAACTCTTTCTCCTTTTATTTGATTGTGGTAAAGAGCCCTTATGCCCAGCGGTTTTGATTTGGACTTGTGTTGATGCTGTTAGTCTGAGAAAGCTTCTGGGATGGTACCCCTCCACAGTTTCATGTATTGCAGGGCAGGTAGCATATAAAAGTTTTTTTTTTTTTTAATATCTCTTTATCCAGTAATTTGAAATGCCGGGAGCCAAGCACAGTGTGTAGCTCACGGAAGGCTCTCAGTGGGTATCTAGTATTTGAGCAAACTCAGGGAGATAGTGAAGGACCGGGAAGTCTGGCTTGCTGTAGTCGGCAGGGTCACAGAGTCGGACAGGACTGAGCCACTGAACAACAACATTTGAAGACACTGGAACATTTCATATGCTCTCAGATAACACTGCTGTCCCTCGGACAAAGTTCAGTGAAGGGAGAGGAAACACACAGTCTTGGATCAGGAGAGGCACCCGTGTTCTACTCAGACCCTAACCTCTCTGTGGCTTCTGCAGAACGAGCAGAGCTCTTGGCCGCAATTTCCTTGTTAACAGAACAAAGATTGCCAGGTCATTTGTCACTAAACAGACTTACTCAGCTGTGCAACTCCCAGTGACTGTGTGGCACTTCATAAAATGGGGCATTGCAGTCATTTTCCCTTTGAAAAGTTGAACTTGGAGGTCCCAAGCTGGAGATGAGGATTTGCCTTTTTCTGTCACGTGGAATCTCCTGTGTGTGTGCTCACTCAGTCCTGTCTGGCTCTTTGCGGCCCCCGTGGACTGTAGCCTGCCAGACTCCTCTGTCCTTGGAATTTTCCAGGCAAGAATGCTGGAGTGGGTTGCCATTCATATTCCAGGGGGTCTTCCCCTCCCAGGGATGGAACCTGGTTCTCTTGTGTCTCCTGCCTTGGCCTTTACCAATAGTGCCACCTGAGAAGCCCTTGAAATCTCCTATTTCAGAGCATTAATAGGAAGCATGGAAAATTTGTGCAGTTTGGAAACTTCCAGAGTGGACAAGCAGAATCCTTTTCAGGCAGCCTCTGCCCATATACTATACCTTGACCTTAACCTAATTATTAAAGACAAATCTGAGTCCCCATTTTCTGAAGGTTAAAAGTTTAGTTCCTACCAGTATAAATTAACTATGTAGGATAAAAACCTTGAGTTTGCTGAAGACTGGAAGGATTTAGATTCTGAGATTCTGAGCTTTGTAGCCGTTTAGGAGAAAGATATCCCATTTTTTCTTTGAAGAGATCATTGTCCTTTGTTCTTATGACCTGATACCAGATGTTTTTATGTTTTTATATTTCCACTTTTTGACTACCATTTTGTCTTCTCCCCATTTCTGTCTGTCATTTTCAGCATTCCCTATTTCTCCTTTTCTTCAGGGAGAAACTTCTTCAGTGTTTGGATCCTCTGGGAAGGTAGTGGCTATACTTTTGGGGGTCTCTACCTGATGGGTTACTTAATATATCTTTTGAGCCTTCACTTCACAGGGTTACCTGAGACCCCCCCCCCCCCCCGGGATTATTCAGAAAGAGGCTGAAACACAGGGACTCTGATATCTTCATAAGCTAGATCCACTCAAATTCAGTAGCAAAAAAGGAAAGCTGCTTAAAAATAACCAAACTTATAGATGAGACTACCTCCCATTGAAGTCCAAATAACTTTACTTTGTTGTGTATTTTCTTTTCTTTAGGACCACCAGAAAAAAAAGTAGTGGTGCACCTCAAGAAGTTGGATACAGCTTATGATGACTTTGGCAATTCCGGCCATTTCACCATCATTTACAATCAAGGCTTTGAGATTGTGTTGAATGATTACAAGTGGTTTGCCTTTTTTAAGGTAAGTTTTGTTGGAATATGCATTCATTATTTCCAATGATCTGATATCTCTTCTAATGAGGAGAGATATCAATGAAGCCTCTTCTAATGAGGAGACCCTCAGTATTTTAACTTTAGATTATGAAGATAACCATAATTATACCAGGTTTCCCAAGAGAAATTAGATGATGTGATTTTTCCACTTTATTTAAAATTATGACTTTGGTTAAAAAAACACACACACCAAATCTATATTTGAATGTGTGCAATCCATCTGTATTTAAATTTACATTTTGGTAAGTATGACTGAATTCTTAATTTATTTTGTTTATTACTACACCTTTATTTCTAATTGTTGCTTTAGTTACTTGGCTTCATGCTGAATCTGTAGGAAAGATAGGAATTTTATAAATTTTTCTTGAGGTTATTATACTGTCCCTCTTATCATTGTTTGTTAGCTCTAGAAATTTACCTGAATGACTCATTGAAATAATGTCATGGACTAACTATATTAATGTGAATAACTTATTTGACTAAGCTCAGACAAAGAGATGGAGAGCCTCGGAGTTACCCCTTGGGCTAAAGGAAAAGGTAGCCCCGCCAGCCCAGATGCTTTTCTTCTCTCACTGGGGAAGAACTGATGTCCATTCCTATAGTCTTACACACTGCTTCCAATTGCAGACACACTCTAGGGTAAAACAGTTGAGCACAAGCTGCAAGCCATCCCAGATATCCTTCCTGTTTGCAGAGTATTAAATGGTTTAACTAAGTTGAATCCACAAGCCTGAGACTAGCTGTTTGTTATTATAAATACAGGTTAATAAATAGAGACTCTTTCAAGGGATAGTGTCGATAGTCTTTAAAACATATGGTAAGAGTTAACCAAGTAAATGGTAAGAGTTAACTAGTTACAGATTTTGTGGGAACATGAGGGAATGAGTCTGTTAAAGATGAGGAAAGACAAAGAACCAGCAAAAGACAAGTTTCTGATTTTATTGTGATTCCTCATGTGGGTTGTGAGGTAATCTGAGTCAAATTTCTTAGAATCATAATGCCCAATAATTTTTTTTTTTTTTTAACTATGAGGACCCCTTCTTAATATGAAAAAAGAAAAGAGAGACAGGAAAAATTGTCTCCTCTCCCCTGGATTATCTATCTGCTTTTCAGTTGGTGGGAACCAGTCTAGCTGTGCTGGCCACTGGCAGGCCAGCAGTCTGCTTTATTAGTTGAAGCCCATGCTTGACCATTTATTAAATATTTTTTATTATCATCCCTAGATACTATCCTCCTATAGATACTGTGTATTTTTAAAAATTGTTCCGAGTATCTGTATGAGCTCTTAAAGTGGTAGTGTGTAAATGTGATTCCATCTGAACATAATTCTTGATCTACCTTTTGATAGGCCTAGGGCTCTGTAGACCTCTTATAGGTACTCTGTTACAGTGCTTTAAGAGTTCATTGCTTTTAGGTTGGGAGTCAATTGCCTGTGGAATTGATGCACAATGAAAGAGAGACTCAAATCAATTGTTACTGTGTACCCTCTTGCCCCTTCTTTTCCTCCTTTCTCCCTTTCCTTTTTTCTTCTGTGGACACAGATTAGGTACTCGATATTTGTTTAAAACATGAAAGTGAAGTAGAATTCAGTTGAGAAATAGGTTGCTTGAATTATTTAAGTGTAAGATAGGATGTAGTATATAAACAGATGAATAAATAGTTTTACCCATTTAGCTTGGAAGACTTTTCATTCTTCACTTCTGTAGACTTGGAGAAATTGGTAGTGAAACGTCTGATGACACCGCCAATTACCCGAGATGTAATCAGAAATAGGCAAGGGCCGTTCCCCTCCACTGATATTTTCCTATCGGTTTGTCTGCTCTCAGCTTGAATAGGAGTCCGGAGGTGGTGGGGACAGAGGGTATGGCTGGTAGCTGAGGAATCTGAACACTTCTCTGTGCAGTTGACCCTTGAACAATAACAGGTTTGAACTTCATGGGTCCACTTACACAGAGATTTTTTCTTTTTTCCATAGTAAAGACTGCAGTACTATACGATCCGAGGTTAGGGAACCCTGTTTGTGGAGGGCTGACTGTTAATTATTGGTGGATTTTCAGTTACTTGCAGGATTGGTACCCCAAACCCTGTGTTGTTCCTTTGTTCAAGGGTCAACTCTATTTCTTTTTAGATCAAAGGTGTAAGCAGATTTCGCACTTTTCTGTAGCCTCAAAACTTTTTTTACAGGTAAATAAAGGCTTTTTAAAGCCAAATAAGATTATAAGTGTTCTCAACCATAAATGGTAAGTCACTGTATGCTGTGTTGTAGGGTAGAATACTACCTGCTCATGTGTTTCTGAATGGCATTCTCTCATTAGGAATAAAAATAACAAGAGTGTTCTCCTGCTACTGGTTTCAGTATATTTTTTAAAGTGTCCATTTGACCAGAACCATTATCAGGACTGTGTTTTCTTTTCCTGCTGAAAAATTAGACACTCTAGTCTGTGGTTAGGTCATGTGATAAGTATCATAATTTCAGTAAGCAGAGCAGAACATTAACAAGATATGTGGTTTTAAATTTTCTCTCAGAATAATCAAGTAGATCCAGAGAAACATGCTTTCTGGAGTGATAAAATGCCATGTTCTCTTAGCAAATCCAACTGGAAAAGTAAGGGAGAGCAGCAAAGCTTAACAACTTTAGGAAAAAATCATAAAGTGGAGATGACTTTACATAATAGGACAAATACTTTTCGGGGGACACTTTTTAACATAAAAGTCTTGGTGGACTTTACCCGAAGCCTTAGGGTATTTCCTGCAGTGGTGCTGGGGAAAGGATGCTGGGTGTGTGACTCAACAAAGGCCACCTATTTATAAATAGGCATGTGAGATTTTTTTTTCCTACTGATTTTAGAAGTAACTTTTAAATGCAAATTATTTTTTAAAAAGAATAATTATCAAAATATAAGCAGTATTTTACTATTCAAGTTCAACTATCCTATATAAGCTAACTGCTACTGTAATCCATTCAACTAACTGCTGTTGCAGGAACATCTGACAAACATTTGTCCTTTATGCCCTCCCGTGTTAGTCTACGAATCAGCTGGATTTCAGGTCTCTCCACGGACTCAAAACAGACTCTCCCACTTGTTTCCTTTTGCCCTGCTTCAGATAGGCTTTCATGAAATTGTTTCTTAGGGTTGTTCTGCTCGAGTTTGTTGAACAGGTGTTGCAGGCAAGGTATCCTGTTAGGTTCCTACTCCTCAACCCCCAGATTAGCCTGCAGTTCAGAGCAGACAGCTTCTACATCGTTCTCCCTACATTCCAACTTTGGAGCCATGTGGTACCACTTTTATTGCCAGGAACTTGCTGTATTAAGTTCTCCTTATTCAGGCCTCATCTGGAGAATAAGCAGAATTTTTCATGATTTGTTCTTAGGCCCTTTTTCCCTTGGTTTTTAACTGCTTAAGAAATTTGCAGTGGACTAGGATGATCTTTTCTTTTTTTTTTTAATGTATGATCTCAGGCTCGATAAAAGTTTGGAAAGAAATCTTGACGCTGAAAGTTTATGCACTGTGTGAGTCAGACAGGAAGCACTAGTTTTATATTTTTGAAAGACACTTTTTCCTACTCAACTTTCACCACAGATTCAGTTATCAGAACACTCTGGGGGGGTTACAAACTCAAATGAATTTAGGGCTCACCTAAGCAGATACCTGAGCATCTGAAACAACTTTATGTGAAGCAGTAAGGAGTAATTTGATTTATGGCCTATGAAATGAAAACTTTCCTAGAGACATTTGAATTCAGTTTTCCCTTAAAATAATGTGCTGGCCACAGGCCAGTTTCTAAGACTATTAACTTTTAATAGCATTGCCCTTTGATTGTAAGTCCAACACATCTGCAAATGAAAAGTTCTTGCAGGTGACAAACAGCCAACTTCTTTTATGAAAACACACAATGGAACAAAACAGTATAAAGGATGTTTAATTGTGACTGACTTTGTGATGGGTAGGTAACCGATTATTTTTTCTGCTTTATGCTTTTGTGTACTTTGTTCATTTTTTACCATGAGCATGTGTAACGCTCCTCTCCGCTGTCCTCTACCTGATTGCCAAGGAAGGAAGCGGTGTGAAACAGACTCAGCTCCAAAGAACACCCTTCAGTTGAATAGGCTTTCTAACCTTTTGCTGTTCCTCCTTTTACTTTCTGAGGCTGTAAAAGGGAGCAGTAGAGAATGAACTCAGTTTATATTTTGAAGATTAAACTATTCAAGGGCTGAAGAAAGTACGTAGAAGAGAAGCTAGACTCAGGATGGCTGAAAAGCTTATTTGGTGATCGTTAAAACAAAGTTCACTGATTTCTAATTGAGTTTTTTGTCTGGGACCTACCAGTCTTAGTAGAACTGTAAGCTAAATACTCTACCGTGAGTATTTCTAAAGCAGCTTGGTACTCAAAATAAAGGTAGTATGTTGGGAAATCCATACCAAAGGATTTATTTTTCCATTTTATGTGCTAGTGACTTGTAAGTTTCAAGCTTGTTACAACAGCCAGAAATCATGTGTTTTCTACAGCAAAGGATTTGGGAGTCTTGTGTGGTCTTTTCCATTGTGCCTTCTGGGTTTATTTTTAAGATGTAACAATTCAACTTTCAGAGTGTTATTGGGATAGATTTACCTGCTTTAATATAGAGTGAATACACCAAAATGAGGTGTTTGTCTTTCTTGTAAATAATTTGATGTTTACTTTTAAAAGTGTTTCAGTTGAGGAAAAGAATCAGAAGACGCCTAGCCATTTGTTCTTTCATGATGATGCTTTATCTCAACTTAATGACTGAGTTTTCCATTGTAAACCTTTCATAGGATGTCACTGATCTTATCAGTCAGTTTTTCATGCAACTGGGAACTGTGGGGATGTATGATATTCCACATCTGAGGAACAAGCTGGGTGAGCTCCATTGAAATGCTTCTAGCTTTCTCATTAAGTGCAAGCTTCCCTCCTCCCCGGTGGGTTATGCAAGTTAATGTTTGTTTC